CCAGCTGCTCCATTTCTTTTGGAGCATCGGAGCCCCCCCTTTCTCATTGCTCATCCTTCTCTTTGCTCATCCTTCTCTTTGCTTTTCTACTCTCGTGTCCCCCCACCCCAAGGAGGAGGAGGAGGAGGAGGAGGAGGAGGAGGAGGAGAAGGAGGAGGAGGAGGAGTGGAGAAAAGAGAGGAAAAGGAGTGTAAGGAGGGAGGAGGGGAGGATGAGGAGGAAGGAGGAATGAGGAAGGAGGAAGGAGGGAAGAGGAAGAGGAGGAGGGGGAGGGGAATGAGGCAGGAGGGGGGAGAGGGCTTCGCCTTCACTTTTCAAATTCTCAACGCTTCGCGCTACCCCACAAGCCCATTCAGAAACGACGCCCAGGCGAGTTGAGTTGATCAGAGATATCTAACAGCTACAGAGGACCTGCCGCTATCATTCGTTAAAAATATTAGGGGGTATTTCTTGGAAGGTGCGTTGGAGGCTTCTTCGGGTGTCTGGAGATCCTCTTAGCAGACCTCGGAGATCTCCTTGACGCTCTTGGGGAGTTCTTGGGAGCATATTGGAGACCTCTTCACCGCTTCTTCAGGCCCCGCCCTCGGTCCTGGGGGGACTGGATAAAGAGAGTGGTAAACCCTCCCTGAAGAGGAAACAGAGAGTTGGAAGAGAAGCTGTCCTAGCCCTCATACGCTCAGAGGCTGGTGGAGCCAGCGAAGCGCGGCGATACGGGCTTGATTATCTACCTGCCTGCGGCAAGTCCCGCCACCGTGCGAGTCCAGCATGCTCGGCGGCTCTCGTTCCAATGAGGAAGGGAGGCCGTACTCGCGAGGGATGAACAACAAGGTAATGATGATGAGGCCGGTACTCGCGGGTTCTACCACGTTCTTACGTGCCAAGGGTACGGTGGCGGAAATATCAAACCCGTCCCCCTGCGAACACATTTTAAGACAAATATCGTGCCGAGCTCGATCCCCACGTCTTCTCGCACCCCACTGGGGCGCGATTTGTGGGAGTTCCAGAAATGGAACAAGGAGTCATTTGCATTTCGTTGCCACGGAAAAATCCGCGTTCTATTTTCTCTTTCCCCCCCTCCTCCTCCTCCTCCTCCTCCCTCTCCCTCCCTCCCTCTCCTCTCTCTCTCTCTCTCTCCCTGCCGGCTGTGAGGATGTCTCGAGCGAGCAGGCAGTGCTGTAAGTAGGGAGCATGTTGCCCACACTCATGCCCACTCACACTCAAACGGAGGACGCGTCAGCAAGGATGTGTAAAACAATCCTATCACGCTCAGAGAGCGTTACAATCTACGTTTCGCGTGTCGTGAGGCGTTCCTTGACAAATACCCATAGAAAGACTTACCAAGGGATTGATATGCATGGAAATCCATGGAAAGATGTGCCAAGAGAATGAGATGCACATATGGGGAGCCCCGTGTCGAGTAATTTTATTCGGCGTTTCGACATTGGGCGGCAAGGGTGGGGGAGGGGGGGTCTGGCTCTGGACCTCTGATAGTGCGACTGTTTGCAGCAGTGCGTCCATTATAGGGGAGGCTCCACCTGCCCGAAACAGGCGCCAAAACAGCCAAGATCTACTCCGGGGGGGGGGCGAGGGCCCGCGCCGATCGGCAAAACGACGAGTAAAAGACGACCACAATCTCTGAGATCCAGCGGCTCTGGAGGCTGTCTCGGGCGCCGCGGCCTTCTCGGAGCGTTCCAAAACGCTCTGAGAGCGCTGCGGAACGCTCTGCAACGGATGCATTATCCGATCAACATCCGAAGGATGCACGACCCGTTACATCCAGGCGAGCCCAGATTCAAATCGATAAGTCGGATCGGCGATCGAAATGAATCGGATCGGCGAAAATCGACAGCCGAGTGGGGAAAAGTCGAATCGGCAGACATCGGCAAGCTAGTAGGCCTCCCTTGAGAAATCGGATCCCACATCGGAATCCGAAATCGCATCGAAGCGGCATCGGAATTTAGCCGATATCGAATCGGAGGAGACGACATGAGCTCTACGATCCCATCCGAAGGATGCACGACCCGTTATATCGAGGCAAACACGTGCTTCTCGGGCGCCTGCGAGCAGGCACATAATCATCATTGCACCGGCCTTGCAGACGTGCTGCAGCGGATTTCTGCGTGGATTTCTGCGTGGACGTTTGGCCCGAAACGGCGAGCGAGAAAAACACGCAGTGAGCTCCGCGTGGAATCTTCCTGGCCTTCCCTCCTGGCCACAAGAGAATCCGCACGAGACTCGCCCCGAGAGCCGGAGCGAGGCATTCTCCAGGCACGCTCCGGGCCCGCCGGCCGTCGCGTCCCGAGCGAAAGTCCGCTCCGCGGTGCCGGCGCCGCGGCGCGCGCGCGTGCTGCTCGGGCGCCCCCGCGAGCAGGCACCGCGAGGTTGGCGAGTGGCGGAGCGGGCGCGCGCGGGCGGGCGGAGGCAACGGAAAGGGCCCGCGGGCCCTCGGAGGGCCCAGCGAGAGCACGGCGGCCCGGGCCACTCCAGGACGCCCGGGAGGAGGAGGAGGAGGAGGAGGAGGAGGAGGAGGAGGAGGAGGAGGGGGAGGAGGAAGGAGGAGGAGGAGGAGGGGGAGGAGGAGGGGGGGAGGCGGAGGAGGAGGAGGGGGAGGAAGAGGAGGAGGAGGAGGAGGAGGGGGAGGAAGAGGAGGAGGAGGAGGAGGACCAGAGTAAACCCAAGAGGCACCGACGATGTTGGAATAAGCCCTCCCTCCAAGCCCCCTCCTTCACAGGCCCCTGCAACGGTTCATGTTTGCTGAGGGAACTGCCCCGTTGGAAGACAACTGCGTTAAAGACCCTGCAGCATGCCAAAACATTGTTCTCGGGATTCCAACGCCGCGGCTAAACCTGACTGTTGCGTATTGACGATCCTGAATCGCACCAAAACGCCATTCCTGGGACTAGAACGCCGCGAATCAACATAACTTGTGCACCCCCTAAGCCTGATTCCTTCCGAAAGACAACTTCTGGTACGTTGATCATGGGAATCCGTGAAACTCTTGCAAATGTTTAACACGAATGCGCGCGGCGCTGAGGCGAGAGCCACATGTTGAAAAGTTACAGCCCTGAATCCGTGAAACTATTGCAAATGTTTAAAACGAATGTGCGCGGCGCTAAGGCGAGAGCCACAGTCTGAAAACGACCCGACCTCCATCTGTGAAACTGTTGCCATCGTTTTAGTTTCAGAGCCATAAGCTGTGAGGAAGTCTCAGGCGAAGCGCCCGGCCCGCCCTGAACACTGGCTTCGGGGTGCGACAGGGAGAAGATATTCAGCAGAAGGAGAAGGAATGGAGGAGGAGGAGGAGGAGGAGGAGGACGAGGAGGAGGAGGAGGCGGAGGAAGAGGAGGAGGAGAAGGAGGAGGAGGAGGAAGGAGGAGGAGGAGGAGGAGGAGGGGGGGGGGAAGGGGGGGAGGAGGAGGAGGAGGAGGAGGAGGGAGGAGGAGGAGGAGGAGGAGGAGGAGGAGGAGGAGGAGAGATAACGCAACAGGCCCCGTCTCACGTTTGCCGCACGTCCAAAAGGAGGAGGAGGAGGAGACGGAGGAGGAGGAGGAGGAGGAGGAGGAGGAGGAGGTGGAGGAAGAGAAGCCGAACGAAAACCGGAGTCGTGCGCGCTGCGCTGGGCAGCCCGCCCGCCCGTGCCCAGCAGGGCTCTTGGCGCGGACGCCGTGGCCTCAAGAATGGGCTTTGTGTGTGCGCGGGCTCCCGTGATGACCACCATTCGGCAAGAACGCTGCTGCCGATCTCGTTCTTGTTAGGGGGCCACATGCGAACCCTACCCCTACCCCCCACGATTTCTGAGGGGGAGGGCGGGGTTCACTTCGTTCGGGAGCTCTCGAGCGAAGTGAACCCCACCCTCCCCCTCAGAAATCGTGGGGGGTAGGGGTAGGATTCGCATGTGGTCCCTTACTTGTGGCCGGGCCCCGAGCGGCGAGAGCATCTGTGGATACGAATGCCAGCAGTCGTCGCCTGCCCCTCTCGCGCGCTGGGTCGCACCTGCTTCCTCGAAGCTGCGCTCGACGGCGGCGGAATTCGCAGAGGAGAAGGAGGAGGAGCAGGCGGAGAAGGAGGAACATGAGAAGGAGCAGGAGGAGGAGGAGGAGGAGGAGGAGGAGGAGGAGGAGGAGGAGCAGGAGGAGCAGGAGGAGCAGGAGGAGGAGCAGCAAGAGGAGCAGGAGGAGCAGGAGGAGGAGGCGGAGCAGGATGAGGAGGAGGAGCAGGAGGGAGAGGAGGAGCAGGAGGAGGAGGAGCAGGAGGAATGAATACAGAGGAGGAGGAGCATCAAAAAGACTGCGCCCGCTCTTGCTTTTCCAGCCAGAGAGGCGGTCGAGATCAGGGCACGGACCTCGCGAAGACATCCGACGGCTCCACGAACACCCCCCGCCGCGCCTAGGGACGCATGCGGAAGGGGCCCGGCTTCGCGGGGGGGGAGGAGCACCGAACTGGAATCGGCGACACGTCGCCGACAGCTCGGCGATGGGCCCCCGAGAAGCGACACCGCGCGCGCTCCTGGGCGGGATGGGCCAGCAGGCCCCCGTCGGCGATCCAGGAGCGACTGCCTACCAGACCACCCCAACCCACCCCGAAGACCCCCGAATTTCGGGTTGGCGGGGGTACGGGTTCCGCACGTGCTTTTTCCACGTTCCCCGACGCCCCGCCCCCCCTGGAAATGGAGGGCAGATCAGGGCCTTCGGGTTGGGTTGGGGTGGTTTGTCGGGGGCGCGCAGACATGGACTAGCGATCCATGGATTTGGCGCGCGGCCGCCAAATCCATGGATCGGGGGGAATGCCCTCCCCAAAATGCGGCCGGTGCCGCCTCGCTCCGCGGCGGAAATCCGCGATTTCCCATGGAAACGGGACCCGTCGCGAATCCACGCCCGCTTGATGCATGTTTGCGATCGCCTAAGTTTGGTGGGCGGTGAACCCCTGGGCCTGTCCCACCCTGACGCGTCGCCCCCGACACGAGCAACCCCCCCGCCACGCGCCCCGAGGAGAGTCGGCACCTCCACTGCGCGGGCGCATCCGGGCCGCCGAATCTGGGGAGCAGCTCGGAGACGAACTCGTCGTAGCCGATCTCCGCGTTGGCCTCTGCGCGGCGGCGACGGAGCTCCACAGAGCTTCTCTGAGTACCGTTGAACCGATCCCCATCCCCAGCGGTGTGGCCTGAGCCCCACTGGCCGCTTTGCCCGCCTAGATGGGGGGTGCAAGACCCTTGGTCGCCCGTGCTGAAGCTTTTACGAGCGCGGCGGGCCGTTCAAGAGAGTCAAGAATGGACCAAAGAGGCACGGATGCAAGGATGCCCCTTGGAAGGTTACCCAGCCTTACCGTCGGTTTCGACTGCAAGCGATCTGAGCATCGTTTATCCGACCCCCATCCCCAGCGGCGTAGCCTGAGCCCCACTGGCCGATTTACCCCCCTAGATGGGGATATAGGCCGTTCCCTTCGGGTTTCGAAGGGTGTATCCCCAACTGGGGTGGTAATTTGGTGGGGGTCTCGAAGTGGATGAGGGTGGGGATGGGGGTCGGTCAAACGATACTGACGATCGGCACTCTGTCGTGCCCATGCGCACGCCCCAGCCCCACAGTGGGGCCGCAACGGGGGCATGGACGAATACCTGGCCTCTGGGACCACGTTTTGTACCCGTGCCCCGCTTTCCCTGGCGGCCAGGGATTGAAAGGGCCCACGGACACACAACTGAATACACACAAATCCCAGGATTCCCCATTTTTTCCTTTTTTTCTGGAGTTTCGTCTTCCCCCCCACTCGCATATCTCCCTATATTTTCCTGGGAGTCGCCGATTGATTGTGTCTATGTGATTTTTCCCCTGCTGAGGGATACGGGTCGAGCGTCGATCGTCGATCGGCACATAACTCCAAAGAGCCGGCCGCCGGCTCAAACCCGGCACGAAGGAGGCGGGTCCTGGCAGAGCGGGGCCCTTGCAGTCTTTCACCGTCTTCGGGCCCCCGAGGCCCTCCTCGGGCCCCAGGACCAGCAAGACAAGACTCGGGGTGAAGAAATGGTCCAGAGGAGAGCCCTAGAGTCTAGGACCCGTTTTCCTCAGAGCCCCATCTCCTTCATGGCGACTCTCGCGGAGCTCCCAAGCACCAGCCGTGGCCGTAAACATCTGGGGAAGGTGCAACTCAAGGGAAATCGTGGGAGGTCGTTGTAGGCGCGATCATGCAGTCTGAGTCCACATCTAAAAATGGTATGGCATCCGATCGAGGCGGATTCCGGACGAAGAAAGAATGGGAAGGATTAGGCCCAAAGAATTACGAGGGCCCATGCTCAATTAAGCCTGCAATGCTTGATTCAACCTCCGATGCTAAACTCGTCTCTCCGCTCCGCAGCCGGCCTCATCGTCGACGATAATCGCTCGATGTCGTCTCGCGGAAAGCGTGGTCTGATGAGCCCCGACCGAGCAAATCCTTCGAAGGGTAGGGCCCTAAAGGCCAGAAATGGCGAATGGTTCCTTCGCGACGGCTTTCGCCCATCGCTCCGCTCAGTGAAAAAGCCTCGTGCATGGCCAGCGCTCCTCCGCAGCCCAGGAGCTCGCCCTCTGCAGTGTGTCCGTTTGGAGCGTAGCCCGCGGTTCCCGAAACTCGCCCCGGTCGCACAGAAAGAGAAGGGGGGCCATCTCTCGTGTCAGGTCGGGCATGTCCTCCTACAGGCGCATTGTGGAAGAAAACTAAACAATACTCAAAAACAATGCTCAAACATAGTCAAAAACGGTATGAACAAATATAAAAGAAAAACAACAACAACAACAACAACAACAACAACAATCACTTTACCCGAACGCTCAGTGTTCTCACCAGTGCCAGGGTTTTCATGCGACGCCAGCCAATACCCCCACTTTGTGGGGGGGCAGTGCAAGCTCTACCAAATATCCACACGACTCTTCGCCACCACCCACACCCAGCTTCCCGCCCTATGACGTTCGGACACTTCACTTCGTGGCCTGCGGACGACCGTGGCTACTACACTGGCGTGGAGTACACACCCACAGAAGTTGTTAGGACAGCGCGCGCGGGTAGAAATTTTGAAAAGTCGTGCAGGTGTTTTTCGAGGACCTACGGTGCGATTCGTGTGATTTTATGATGCGCGGTGCTAAAATTCTTAAGAAGCCCAATGGTTTTTGGAGATTTCGGCGTGCGCGCGCGAAGAAAAAACGAATGTGTCCCGCATGGTATTATTTGACAGGGATGATGGCCCTGGCAGGTGCGCAACCGTTGTCGCAGAAGTTCGAAAAAGTTGCTCGCAAAAGCCCGTTTGACAGAAATGTTTAAAAAGTGTTGGGTTTCCTACGAATCCGCAAGAGCGCGCGGGATGAGATTTTGACATTTTTTTGTTGAAAAACCATTGGTTTTTTGATGTTTTTATGTTAAAATCGCTCCGAACACTAAGCTTTTGGAAGGATTTCGTCTTGCGCGCGCGAATGTCCACTTTACCTTATTTTTTGCAAGGGATTCTTGAAATTTGATTATATTAGAACAAGAAATGTCATTTTATAGTGTTTTTTGCAAGGGAAAACGGATTACAACAAAACAACCGGATCTTGATCACATCGTATTACCTGAGGCTTCCTCACGAAAATGATGAAAATGTAGCTGCGGCCTAGGCGGCGCAGGGGGGCCGTGCACCAGGGGCCCCAACAATAATTATTCTTTAGAATTAATAATGTTCAACAACAACAACAACAACAACAACAACAACAACAACAATTACTAGCACGTGGGGACACTCCGTTCTCACCAGTGCCAGGGTTTTCATAGGAGGCGGGCAATACCCCCACTTTGTGGGGGGGCCGGTTCAAGCTCTACCAAATTTCCAAACGACTCTTCGCCACCACCCACACCCAGCTTCCCGCCCTATGACGTTCGGACACTTCACTTCGTGGCATGCGGACGACCGTGGCTACTATTCAGGGCCCCGCGGCCGACGACGACGGCGTGCGCGCGCGAAGAAAAAACGAATGTGTCCCGCATGGTATTATTTGACAGGGATGATGGCCCTGGCAGGTGCGCAACCGTTGTTGCAGAAGTTCGAAGCACGTGAAAAAGTTGCTCGCAAGAGCCCGTTTGACAGAAATGTTGAAAAAAGTATTGGGTTTCCTCAGAAATCCGCAAGAGCGCGCGGGATGAATTTTTGAAACTTTTTTTGAAAAACCATTTGGTTTTCATGTTTTTATGTTAAAATCGCTACGAAAACTAAGGTTTTGGAAGGATTTCATCTTGCGCGCGCGATGTGCACTTCGTGTCATTTTGCAAAAGGATTCTTGAAGCTTGGTTATGTTAGAACAAGAAATTTCATGTATATAGTGTTTTGCAAGGGAAAACGGGGGACAACAAAACAACCGGATCCGGGACCCACGTTTTGCCTGAGACTTCCTCACGAAAATGATGAAAATGTGGCTGCGGCCTAGGCGCGGCGAGGGGGCCGCGCACCAGGGGCCCCAACAATAATTATTCTTTAGAATAAATAATGTTCAACAACAACAACAACAACAACAACAACAACAACAGCAGCAGCAGCAGCAGCAACAACAACAACAACAGAAACAGCAGCAGCAACAACAACAGCAGCAACAATCCTTTTAAGACTGGTCGCTCTTATCTGCTCGCGTGTCATTCAATATGCATATCCCAAGCCCTGGATACCCGCCCTCTTCGTCTTCGATCGTACCCCCTTTTGAGGGGTAGATTCATTCCCTGCCACGTGTGGTTAGTGAAGCCCTTGAAAACGAAACGAAGGGCATTCTTCTATGGGGCCACAAAGGGCGACAGCGGGGCCACTGAGGGCAGCATGCGTATGGGGCCACGACGGGCGACTGCGAGCGGGGGCCACGAAGGGCATGTAATGCGGGGCCACAATGGGCAGCGACGGGGCCACTGAGGGCAGCGAGCGAAGGCGACCGCGGAACCAGTACGGGCAGCGAGGGGCATCGAAGGCAGCGAAGGGCAGCGAGCGGCGACTGCAGTCCCTGACGGGCTGGTCGGGCGGACAGGCCCAGACGGGCGGGTCGAGTGGGCGGGTCGTTGAAGCGTAAATTCTGCTTGAACCGCCAGGCAATATGTAGCGGGAGCGCCATTCCTGAATGTCGAGGAGCGGCATCTGAATAAACTGCGAGGAAATGTCAGGCGGCAGCCGCGATTCGGAAGGCATGAACGATTCTTGCCCCGGTGCCGGTGCCGGTGCCAGTGCCGGTGCCGGTGCCGGTGCCGGTGCCGGTGCCGGTGCCGGCGCGGTGCCGGTGCCGGTGCTGGTGCCGGTGCCGGCGCCGGTGCCGGTGCCGGCGCCGGTGCCGGCGCCGGTGCCGGTGGGCGAGAATCGTTCTATAGTGGGGTGGGGCCATGGCCAAGCACGGCGCGGTGGATAACGCCGAGCATCGCAATGTTTCGCCGGAGCGAGGAGGGCATCGGAAATTAATAAAGATTACATGGTTTCGCGCTCCTCCAACCCCTCCAGGGAGGCCCCGCCTGAGCGAGGAGGGCATCGGAAACCCATTTTATTTACATGGTTTCATGCCCTTTCCATCCCTCCAGGGAGGCCCCGCCTGAGCGAGGAGGGCAACGGAGACCCATACTATTTACATGGTTTCGCGCCCTCCCCACCTCTCCAAGGAGGCCCCGCCTGAGCGAGGAGGGCATCGGAAACCCATGCTATTTACATGGTTTCGCGCCCCTCCCACCCCTCCAGGGAGGCCCCGCCTGAGCGAGGAGGGCATCGGAAACCCATGCTATTTACATGGTTTCGTGCCCCTACCACCTCTCCAGGGAGGCCCCGTCTGAGCGAGGAGGGTATCGGAAACCCATACTATTTAAATGGTTTCGTGCCCCTCCCACTGACATGGGTGAGGAGGAGGGGAGAACATTACCTATCCATCTCACGTCCTACTCCTCCCACTGAGGAGGGTGAGGAGAAGGGGGGGTTCTGCGATGAGGAAGGCTTCATCATGATGCTGGTGATGACGATGGTCATTCTGCTGTTCACGATGACGACGCCGGTGGCGATAATGGTGATGGACGATGACGATGGCGATAACGGTGATTATGATGATGATGCTGATGATAATGACGATGATGATGATGATGACGATGACGATGATGACAACGATGGCGAAGACGACGAGGATGATGATGCAGATGCTGGTGATGATGACGATGCTGCTGCTGATGCTGACGTTGCTGGTGCTGTTGATGATGGTGACGACGATGATGTTGATGATCATGACGTCCACGATGATGCGGACGATGACGATGCCAAGGACGGTGATGGTGATGATGATGGCGATGCTGATGATGATGATGACGATGGTGGCGACGACGATGATGATGATGACGATGACGCTGGCGATGATGATGATGATGATGTTGGTGGTGATGAAGATGATGATGATGGTTATGATGATGCCGATGATGCTGACGATGACGATGATGATGATGATGATGATGATGTTGATGATGTTGATACTGATGATGACGACGATGATGCTGATGATTACGACGACGACGGGGTGACGACCATGCTGCTGATGATGCTGATGATGACGACGATGATGCTGGCGATGATGACGATGCTGATGATGATGATGATGATGATGATGATGATGCCGAGGATGAGGAGGACGAGGAGGAGAAGGACGACGAGAAGGAGGAGGAGGACTCGCTTGAACGAGGAGGGTCGCGGACGCCATTACTCTTTACCAGGTTTCGTAGGCCCCCCCCCCTTCAAGCGGGGCCCCGCCAGAGCGAAGGGGGTATCAAGAAACCGTACTATTTACAAGGCTTCGTTTCCTGAGCACCTGTCCTCCCTCCTCCTTTCTTTCGTCTGCCCTTTCGTGCGTACTTACTCGCTCGATGAGCTTCTCCTTCGCGTCGATGTTGTCGTACCCCATGGGTCCCACGAAACTGTTAATATCTTTATGTGGGGAACTCCGTTTGCATAATTTTACCATTGATTGGACTGCAATCGATTCCACTGGATTTGCACTTGATTGGCTTGCAACCGATTGGATTGCAACCGCTGGGGGGGCCCACAGGGGGCAGCGACGAGGAGGCGGCGACGGGACGGTGACGGCGAGCAAGGAACCGCCAGACCGACCCTCAGGCCAAGACGACGGGCGGCGACGACGCAGCAAGGGGGGGCGACGGCAAGGACGGAAAAACCAGACCGCCCCTCAAGCCCAGACGACGGGCGGCGACAGGGCGGCAACGGCGAGGAGAGAGCCGCCAGACCGCCCCTCAGACCCAGCTACTAGTAGGAAAGAGAGAAGGCCCCCTAAGTGCAAGCACTGTTTGGGAAATGTCATAATGTTCAATGTCAATGATGTTTTTCAGCGCCAGTGCTGGCGCCGGCGCCGGTGCCGGTGCCGGTGCCGGTGCCAGTGCTGGTGCTGGTGCGGTTGCGGGTGCGGGTGCCAGTGCCGGTGCTGGCGCCGGCGACGGCGACGGCGCTGGCGCCCGTGCCGGTGCCCGTGCCAGTGCCGGCGCAAGCGCCGGTGCCAATGCCGGTGCCGGTGCCGGTGCCGGTGCCGGTGCCGGTGCCGGTGGTGCCGGTGCCGGTGGTGCCGGTGCCGGTGCCGGTGCCGGTGCCGGTGCCGGTGCCGGTGCCGTGCCGGTGCCGGTGCCGGTGCCAGTGCCGGTGCCGGTGCCGGTGCCGGTGCCGGAACCGGTGCCGGTGCCGGTGCCGGTGCCGGTGCCGGTGCCGGTGCCGGTGCCGGTGCCAGCGCCGGTGCCGGTGCCGGTGCCGGTGCCGGCGCCGGTGCCGGTGGGCGAGAATCGTTCTATAGTGCGATTCGGTGGTAAGTTGCGAGGAAGTCCCAAGCGAGAGCGCGATTCAATCAATTGTGAGGAAATATCAAGCGGGAGCCGCAATCCGGTGGTAAATTGCAAGGAAGTCCAAAGCGAGAGCGCGATTCTTCAAGAAAATTGTGAGGAAGTTTCAGGCGGGAGCCGTTGTTGTTGTAAACCAGGGGCCAACGACACAGTTTGACCCTCGAGACTTTCCCTGATGAAAAACAAGGTGCGAGCCCCAGGAAGGGCACTTCAAGCGAAAAAAACAATGTGCACCGGACGGGGGGGATCAACAAGAATTTTTCTTCAGAAATGAAAGTTCAACAATTCAACAACAACAACAACAACAACAACAACAACAACAACAACAACAACAACAACAACAACAACAACAACAACAACAACAACAACAACAACAACAACAAAAAACAAACAACAACAACAACAACAACAACAACAACAACAACAACAACAACAACAACAACAACAACAAAACATCCCCTGACTATGTTTGACTAGTTTTGAAGATTGAGGGATGAAACAACAAAAAACAAAAACAACAAAAAAAACACAAAAAACAAAAACAACAAAAAAAACACTTTTTTAAAAAAAAAAAAAAAAAAAAAAAAAAAAAAAAAAAAAAAAAAAAAAAAAAAAAAAAAAAAAAAAAAAAAAAAAAAAAAAAAAAAAAAAAAACGACCCTGGGTTACAAGTGCGTGGTCTGTAAACCGCCTGGGAACCCCCAAAGCATAGAGCCGCCAGGACGCGGCACCTCACGCAGGATGTACCCTGTCAGGCCCACAGGAGTCTCAGCGCACAGCGCCCTGAAACCAGGGCAGGGGCGTTTTGTTATGCCCTTGAGAATATTCCCCCTGCAGAGGGACGTGCCCGACTCGACTCTCGTGGTGCGACGTGCGTGCGACGACCCGTCACCGGATCGGCCTCGAGGGCCCACGCTCGGCCAGCGACCGAGGCCACTCCCGAGTCCGGCAGGGACCCCGGGAGACCTCCAGGGGAGGCCCTGGAGGCTGCTGGACTTCCTCCTCCTCCTCCTCCTCCTCCCTCCTCCTCCTCCTCCTCCTCCTCCTCCTCCTCCTCCTCCTCCTCCTCCTCCTCCTCCTCCTCCTCCTCCTCCTCCTCCTCCTCCTCCTCCTCCTCCTCCTCCTCCTCCCTCCTCCTCCTCCTCCTCCTCCTCCTCCTCCTCCTCCTCCTCCTCCTCCTCCTCTCCTCCTCCTCCTCCTCCTCCTCCTCCTCCTCCTCCTCCTCCTCCTCCTCCTCCTGCTCCTCCCCCTCCTCCTCCTCCCTCCTCCCTCCCCTGGAGGCTAGGGGAGGCCCCCAGACCCCCCGTCCGCCAGCGACCCCGGGTCCTCCAGTGACCCCCGCGACCCGTGAGCCTGCCTATCCAGCGTGCAGCTCGCTTGCCAGAGCGAACTTCCCGAAGCCGCCGACCGAGAAGGGAAGTGAACGGACGTGGGTCCGTCGACCCAAACCGCCCGATGGATGCACGCCAATCGCACACTACCTCAGCAACGCCTGCGTGGTTGACTGATCTATTTCCCGGCCATCCCTTTCTCCGTCCTGCATCCCATTCCCCCATGAGGGGGCGGGCCTTCGCAGAAGGCTCCCAAGGCCTCTGGCCTTCTGATAAGCTTCAAAGTCGCTCTCTGAAGCCACAGAGGACTTTTCAGAAGACCGCAGGGCTTGCGAGAAGGCCCGCCGCCGTATGAGAAGGCTCGCCATCTCTCACTTCCCCCCCATGGCGCACCGCCGATATGAACATGGGAGCCCACGCTGCTGCGACGGCATGGCAAAGCAGCTGTGCCTCCACACCTGGAGCTCGGAGTCGACACCGGGACGGCATCGGAGGCTGCGATCGGCGGTGGCAGGCACGGGCGGGCGGCGGGCGCGGCCTCCCCCTCTGGGATGAAGGCGTTCCATCTGAGGGGGGAAGCGGGGGGAAGGAGGAGAAGAGGGAGGAGAGCGGAAGGGGAGGAGGGTGGAAGGGGGAGAAAGAGGGGGGTGGAGAGTGGAGGGGGGAGAAAGATGGAGAGCGGAAGAGGGAGGAAGGGGGGTGCTCCATCTCAGGGAGGAGAGTGGAAGGGGGAGGAAGATGGAATGAACCGGCAGGAGGCACTTTCCGACCGCAGTGCGCAGGCGGAGGAAGAAGGGCGGAGAAGGGGCGGGGCGGGGCGGGGGCGGGGGCGGGGAGCAAAAGGGAGGAGAGGAGAAGAGAGCGAGGAGGAACTAGGGAGAGGATGAAGGAGGAAGACGACATAATAGGGAGGAGGAAAAGGGGGGCGACGGATGGGGAGTGGAGCCTCTGGACCGTACAAAACACCTGGATCCCTGGAGCCCCACACAAACCCCGAAAGCATCCGAACGTCTCCCCCTTTCCTTCCTCAAGAGATGGGGAGCCAAAACCCATCGATACCCTGGTGGGGTCGGATTGACGCCCTTAGCGCCTGCATATTCACGGAAATGCTACACGGTGGACTCGACAAAAGAGAAAAGCCAACTCTCACCAGTTCTCCTCCTCCTCAAACTCCTTCTCATCCCCGCTCATGTGAGCACCGCAACACAAAAAAGGGTCGTGCCAAGGGGACTTCGCACATCGGCCTGGTCCGAACAATGCCGCAGAAAGCTTGGATCAGGAGCTCTGGCCATGATGTTTGACACGGTTTCGTGTTTTGTTCACGCCGTTGGATCTCGCGGGGCCTCCTCCTTCCTCTTTCTACGTAGTTTCGGACCTAGGACAGAAAAACATCCTTCAAGAACATGAGACCCTCCGCCAACCAAAACATACAAAACATCCAAACGTACCTTCCCCAGGATGCACAAGGGCATCCAACAGACACGAAGAATATTAGGGTACCCTCCCCGAACCAACCTCGATCTTGTACCCTGGCCTCCCTCTCCTCTCCCCCCGACCCCCCCCTTCGTTTCTCAGCTTTCTTTCCACCTCTCGCTCTCTCTACCTCACCATACACGCCAGAGCCGCACTGCTGCGGCAGACCCGATCTCCTCACTGCCCCAGCACCTCCTCCATCTCTTCACGCTCCGATCACTCCTCATCATCCTCCTCCTCCTCCTCCTCCTCCTCCTCCTCCTCCTCCTCCTCCTCCTCCTCCTCCTCCCCGATATGCTCATGCTCTGTATCGTCCTCCACCCATTTCGCTTGACGTTTCCTCTCTCCATCTCTGCCTCCCCCCCTCACGCGCTCACTTCCCAGACCTCCAACGTCGCGTTTTTCCAAACAGTACCTCTAGACTACGCCTCAGGAAAACTCCGGAAATTCGCATCTGGAGGCCTGGCGCAAAAACTGCCCAAAACATGGTTTGCCAGCGTGGGCCATAAGCGGAGGGTGTACACACTGTCGATGTGCAACCTCTGCGATGAAAAATGTGAATACTGCACTTACGTTGTGCAATACAAGCGATGCGATACACGTGGTGCGATAATACATGTACATACACGTATACCAATAACACACATGCAACTACCGTACACGATTGTGCAATCTAAACATGCGTACTGTGCGACCTGTAGGAAGCAAACTATGTGGAACAAGCTACGCGCGTAGTGTCACCTACGTGGTGCAATATATGTAGTCAAAATGTTGGTCGGAGAGTTTGGAACCACCAACTCCATTGCTCGAGCAAACATCCCACCCACCAACGCATCTGCGATTTCTTGGCATAGTTCAACTGGCGCAATAACGCAACGACCTTCATTCTGCACATCGCTGGCTCGCGCGGGCGGGTAACGATGGTGACGACGACATCGGCGACGACGACGACGATGGTGATCATGGTAGTGGTGGTGGCGATGATGACGAGGGCGACGGCAACGACGATGGCGATGGCTATGAGAATGAAGACAGAATGGTCACGACGACGGCGATGGTGATGACATTGTGGCGATAGTGATGGTGATGACGATCGCGATGATAATGGTAGTGCTGGCGATGATGATAAAGATGGTAGTATCAGGTCGTGGTATGACTAGACCGCATTGCGATCATGGCGTAGTGCCACGAATCACACAATGACACGCACGATTTTTCGCCCCCTGAAAAAAGAACGCACACAATGCTCATCCAGCCTGCCAACTTCAGCCAATAACCGCTTCATCGTCCCATGGATATATTTGGCTTGGTCAGGTTGCGACTCGTGGCTAACAGACCAACCGCATGGCTACAACGCGCTGCGAAAACTTCGCCCGGCTCTTTACAGAAAAAATTGAAAATAACTGGTGAACTCTCCTGCGACCGAACCGCCCAAACCGGAGCCAAAACCGAACCGGCTGAAACTGAACCGGCTGATTCGAACCGAACCAGCCGATCGAAACCGGCCCGAACGGTCAACCCGAACCAGTGGAACCGAACCGGCCTGCCCAAGAGGTCTCCAGGACGGCCCAACGGGCCCCCAACACGGGCTCCGCAAAGTTCTGGCGGCCGACGGCTCCAAGAGGGCTTCAGGACGGCCCAAGAGGGCCCCCAGAGGCTCCCCAGAGCGCTCCGAGACGCCCCCCGACGGATGCTACAACAGAAGCGTCGCGTTGAAGCATCCGTTGGGGCACCGTTAGGACCCCAACGAGACGGCCCAAAAGAGCCCCGCCAGGCCGCTCCCAAAGGGCCCCAAGAGCGCCCCCCCCCCCCCCCCCCCCCCCCCAAGAAGCTCGGAAGCGGCCACCGGACGGAAGGCCTCGGCGAGCCGTTCCCGAGCCTCTGGACCCGGGGCCCCGACCTGGGGCCCGGACCCGAGGCCCAGACCCGAAGCCCGCGGACCGGGGCCCGGGCCTCTGACCCCTGCAAGCCCTTCCAGAAAGCGAGCCCGGGGCCCCCTCGCGGCTCGAGGGCGGGCGACCCAGCCCCCGAAGACCCCGAAGGCCCCGCGGCCCCCGAAGACCCCGTCGGCCCGCGCGGCCCGACGACGACGGCGGCGGGAGGGCGGCGGCGGCCACGCGGCGGCGGCCGACGGCGACGACAACGGCGGCGGCGAGGCAGCGGAGCACCGTGGCGCAGGACGCCGCCGGGGAAGGCGCCGTCGGCGATCGCGCAGTCAGGACGCTGTCGTCGTCACCGCCATCGCCCCCCCCCCTCGTCCTGCGCGCTTTTTTGGGGGGGCTCGATCCGCGGCCGCGACGCGCAATGCCTGCAACACAATGCGCGCCCCACCTTTCGATCGCCCGAACCGGACCGCCCGAAACTGAGCCGCCCCGAAGCAAAACCGAACAAACTCAGACCGAGGTGGCGCCGAACCCGAGACGCTACAACCGAACTGGCCCGCTGCCGAAACAAACCGCACCGGCCCGAACAGGCCCCATGCTGCCTTTTAGACTTCCGCGGGAACGCCGCTGTCCAGCGCCTGCTGAAATTATGCCAAGGCATTGTCAGAGTCAGAGACTGCGGCCGCACCAGCACGGCACGACAGCCCCGCCCACTCCGGCAAGCAAGCAATATTCGCAGTCTCCGGCAACGCTACATCCAATAAATCACTCTTCGCGGGTGGTCTCGACCCATCCCCTACAGGCATGACACGAGCTCCTGGCCCACTATCAGGCGCGCCGCACCCCCCCGCGGCACTCGCCCACAGGGCGGACGGGAACCCTTCCAGAGTCTGGACCGCCAGGCCCACCCCCGCCAAGCCCCTCACCTCATGGAGAGCTTCCGGCGCCTCCGGGGGAGCCTCCTGGACCGCCCGATCTGGGTATCCCACCGCTGTTTTTTCCACCCAGCACAATTGGACCCCACGACCGGGAAAAACTCGCCCTCCTTGGACGAATCATCCTCTCCGTCGCCCCCGAGCCCCCGCATTTGGGACTGCCGCTCGGCCCGCCACCCCCGGCGGCCGTGGACGACCAACCAGGCTTCGTGGAGGCCGCCTCATCAGCATCATCAGTAGCCAAAGATTTTGCCTCATCGAGCAAGTCATGGCCCTTTTCGTCGTCTTCGGACAGCATCGTCTGGAAGTGCATCTAGGGCAGCCTCAGCCGCGGCGGCCTCGGCCCTTGCCTCGAGGTTCATGACTCTTTTTCGAAGGGCCAAACCCCGGCCAACATTTGATCGAGCCATGCTTCAGCCCTGCAGTCGGCTCGCTCTTCTGAGCGCCTGTTTTGTCGTTCAGCGATCTCCTTTGTTTCGCTCGGCCATCGCCTATGTCCTGCAAGCAGCGCCCAATTGAGCATTCCTGCACCTCGTGGCCCTCCCCCATCGGCTGAACAGCTCTCTTCTACTCCGCAACTCGAGCCTCGGACTCCGACCCGCCCCCCCCTCCGACTCGGCGGCCACGCGCGCCTCCTGATCAAGGCACCCGCGCTCTTCGCCCTCCCTCGCCCGCTTGCGGCGGGGCCCCTTTTCCCCCTGAGCTTTTCGCATGGCCTGACACGGGCATTCGAACACGGCGCGCGTCCGACGGCCCCTGCGTCGCAGCACCTCTTGCAGCGCGCCCTGACGCACGCCGCGCAGCAGCGCGCCGCACCCGGCGGCGCAAGTAGCGTAGAGGGCAAAAAATCAAACCCCCACCATGGCCACCCCGACACGCGAAGCCGCCTAGCAAAGGCTGTTCAGCAAACGGCCAGGGCCGCTTAGTCAACCCAACTGTCGGGTCCGAGTGGTTTCCCCCCCTCGATAACAATCGACCAGTCGGCCTCGAGCACGCCCATCCAATAGCGCTTGCCCCGCCACCCACGGCGGCCCCAGTGCCCGCCAGCCGCGCCGCGGCAGCCGCCGCAGAGGCTTGCCCCCAGAAGTCGGCGTTCTCAGCTTGGGACAAATGCGATCTCAGAAAGGCCATCGTTTCTTTCTCCCCCTTTCCTCGCCCCACGCTCACAGCGAATAGCTCATCTCGCTGAACTCTGACCACGCGCCCCACCCTGGGTTCCATCTCGCGGGCTGTCCTCGCCTCGGCCTTCGCTGCCCCGCGACTCCCAGCGATTGC